TTGTGGGACCCCATGGTTAGAGATACAGTTGGGCAACCATGAGGGCTTTTTCAGTAGCTGTGCCCCATCTGAGGAATGCTTCCTCAGCAGAGGTCTTTGTGAACCCTTCCTTTCCAGTGTTCCACGGCATGCTGGTCCTGTTTAAGAGGGTCTTTGTGGTTAAAGCTGATGATGAGTTCTGATCTTAGATTTGTTTTCTGGTTTAACTTTATTACTAAAATCAGTAGAACTTGGTTGAATGCTGAATTTTAACTGGATTGCACCATTGTTTTATTTTAAAATTTCTATAATGGCAGTCCCTTCCATAAAGAAAGATTCAGGTGGGTAGCCGTGTTGGTCTGAAGCAGCAGAACAACGTTTGAGTCCAGTGGCACCTTTAAGACCAATAAAGTTTTATTTAGGGTTGTCAGGTCCCCTCACCATTACGGCGGGGGGACTGGGGGGCGTTCTGGGGATGGGTGGGATGTCATCAGGCAATGTCTCGGTGTGATGACATCACTCAGAAGTGACATTGTCATGTTAGTGACGCGCACAACACTCTGGTTTTGGAGTAAAAACTCTATGATTTATTTGCTTCAAAACCATAGAGTTTGGCCTCAAACTAGAGCATCATGCACGACATCACCGATGTAGTGACATCACTTCCAGGTGATGCTAGGGATGTTGCCTGACAACATCCCTATTTGGGGGTGGGTTCCCCCCCGGCCAGCTGGCTGGCAGCAGATCACAGCCCCCAAAAGCAGAGGAACCCCCACTGGGACCTGGGGGCTGGCAACCCTAGTTTTGTTCAAAGTATAAGCGTTCATGTGCAAGCACACTTTGTCAGACATAATGACGAAGTGGTCTTGCACACAACGGCTCATACTTTGAATAAAACTTTGTCTTAAAGGTTTCACTGGACTCAGACTTTGTTATAATGGCAGTATAAGTGCTCCCGTAATGGTTTACTGCTTCCTGCCTCTTGCTTTCTCTCCTTACATTACTATCGAAGTTCATTATTTTAGTTGGGAAAAAGATCACTGCAGTTTTGATTGGAATGCTTATGAACCAGAAAGCCCAGCTTTTAAATTGGACCAGGTCTCTGAAGAGGCAGCATATTCCCTAAATAAATAAATATAAAAATATATATTTTGACTAGCATTGACAAATAACCATGTAAAAAAATCTGGCCACATGAAACATGGGAAACGAACAGTTCCGACTCATGCAGTCTATGAATCAGGGATTACAACTCTGTGGGAAATTCCATATAACAAAATGTTTTTTGTCCTTCCACTAATTAACCGAGAATTGTACTGTGTCTGTTCTCTATTTTTTTTTACCACATTGTCTGTCTTACCACTGTCTTAGACCATTTCTGCACTGACAGCTTGCTCCGGAGAATCTGAGGAGTCAAGCCTTAAGGGTTGACTTCACAGTCTCACACATTCCCTCTGCACTGTCTCCCCCACCCCCCCGGTTGATTTATTTGTGTATTCTGTATGCATTCTGCATCTACAAGCAAAACCCACATTTTTGGAGCTAACTGGCTGTCATCCTCTCACTCTCTCCCTCCCTCCCTCCTTCCCTCTATCTGTGATTCTGCAAAAAGAAAGTGAAAGGAGAGGGAAACCCAGATCCACACATGCAAGACTGACACATTTGGGAGCAGGGAATCCTCTAGTCCTTTATATTTGCTGATTCCTTCTTATGCTGTCTCTGGCTTTTTTTAAAGATTACCTGAGTAGGAGGACACGTCCTCTTTTGTCTTTGGAGAAGGAGGGAAAGAAAACAGAACAGAGAGGGAGTGTCAACCTAAAGAGAGAGAGGCAGAAACAAGGAGAGGGAAGTGGGCAGCACTTAAATACCTGCAGAAACAATTCTATTCTAGAAAGGATTAGCGATTTGAAAGCAGATGAGAACAACGAATCGCAGCAAAAGGAGTTTTGGTAGCTGCAGGGCAACAGTGTGCTGGAAGTGGTCTGAATGCAGATTCCTGCAAAACAAATGCAGAAACAAGAGAAAGCCCTGCCCCAAAGTGGAAGTGAGAGCTGGAGGGAATGCAGAATTGAAGAATATAATGTGCTCAGAAACCGAGGCAAAATACGGGTACCGAAAGGGCTCAAGCCAGGAAATCATAGATTCTCATTCCAGACTCACCCTGAATTCCTGGACTTTATTTCCGATAACTATCGCTGTTCTACCGATCAATACTTTGCATTCTCATCCTCTCCACTTGTGCAGAAGTTGCCAACTCTGCTTTTCTTTCTCTGGGACTTTGGGACATTTACTTGCCACACAGGAGCACCCCTCTACTGCCTTACCTTATTTTTTCATTGAGGTTTTTGGAAGTTCTGCCTAAGCCCCTACTCTCAACCTGTGGATTATCAAAACAGACAACATATTGGAAATTAAGGTGATTTTGGTATCCTGGGATTTATAGCTTTAGAGAAAAAGAAATGGAGGAGATGGGAATATTTCTCTCTTTAGCCACATGTGTGTGTGTGTGTGTGTGTGTGTGTGTGTGTGTGTGTGTGTGTGTGTGTGGGAAGCAGAGGCCTGTGGCTCAAATGCGGAAAGTTAAGGTGATTTTAGTATGCCAGGACTTGCTGCTTTAAATAGAAGAGACAAGAATATTTCACTCATTAGCCATTATTTTGTCTCTCTGTGTTTGTACATGCGGGTGGGGGAGGAGATAAAGTCCCAAATATAGAAAATGAGATGATTCTGCTGTCCTGGACCCTACTTCAGCTGAACCAATGCTCCTATATTTTCAGGTCAAGGTATTTGAGAAGACAATATTTAACGTGGGTTCTGAGATGCATTTGGAGATTCATACTGAGTATTCAGGATAGGAGTGGTGTAGTTGTTAGATTGTTGGTCTAAGACTGCGGAGACCAGAGTTCAACTGCCCACTTAGCCATGAAGTACACTATGTGACCTTGGGCCAGTCACACACTGAGCCTTAGTTGTGAGGAAAAGAGAGAGGGGGAGGAAGTATTTTCTTTCATACACAAATGAAATACTCAAATTAACTCAGTGAAGGAGTTCACGACATCTTTCCTCTTCTCTTACAGAGTCCTCTTTCTTTGACTGAGAATCAGACTATTATGAGTGAAAAAATTAGGTTTTACAAACCACATGATTAATTGTTGATGGCATATAGTTTTTGGAAATATAAATTATTTTATATTGAAATAATGTAATATAGATTACTAAGTACAGGTCTGGACAAGGTTCAGCCCTGTGCCTCCCCCCTCCTGGGAAATTCAGAAATCTATGCGCCTGCTTTGTACCAATACTTTCTGACAGCTCCAAGACTTTAACCTGTGTTCAGGCCAGCAATTTTGTTTATTTTCATTTCAGTTGTCTCCTTTACATTCCCAGTACAATTGCCCTACACTTCCCATATATGGATTTCCATTCCTCCTGAAAACTACACTGTTGCACTGATACTAACACTTATCAAATAATTTGAAGCCTCATGCTAAGAAAGGTAGGGAGGATTTTGAGATGCAGTCATGAAGTAATCAGACTAAAGATATAGGCAACAGCCCTCGGTAGGTGTGCCATTCTGTTTATTATTTTTATTATTGTTACTTTATTTTTGACATTTTTACCCCACCTTCCCTGCGAGTGGGCTCATAAACTGGGAGCCCATATGAGTACAATAAGTGCAGTTAACATCTCGTGTGAATTGGGAAATGCATGTATTTGCCACATGGTACAGCTTCTATTCATGTGACCCAGAGCCCTGGAAAATTAAGGATCTTATTAATATAAATAGAAAGTATACCTGCATGGAAAGTCTACATGTTGCCCAATTGACACAAGATGGCTATTGTGTTCCTGATATGCACAGCTGGTAGGCTTCATGTGAATGGCATGAACATCTGTAAATCGTCTCTGTGTTTGCCCCAGTGGAGCAAGTAGCAACTCAGTGAGGCCATTTCAGGTTAGGAAAAGACTGCACTGGGGGAGGATTAGCCCCTCTGTGCTGTGGTCTGGATCCAAATTGAGCATCCATGTACCTTCTCTTTATAACAAAAAGACCCTTGGACAATCTCCCAACATTGATTTTCCAGCATCTTGTCTAGTTTGACTCCAAGCTCCTGCTAAAAGCAATTCACAGCACTATTGTTAAACAGAGTTACACCATTCTAAGCCCATTGATGTCAGCATATTTAGAGGAGTGTAACTCTTCTTAGGATTGCACTGTTAGTGTGTATGCAGGGGGAGAATGGTGGATAAGCATATAAATGCAAAGGAAGAAATCTAGCATATATCTGAGTTACACAGAGTGTGGGGTGGGGGGCAGAGACAACGATGTCGAGACTAGTAGACCTGTGTCCAGAGTGGTAGACTTTAGCATGATGAAGCTGAGACTGTTTTACCAACCTACATCCTGTGATTCAGTACTAAAGTGATGCCTATCTACATAAATAGCATAAAATGGTGTGAAAATGGCATATAAAGGGGAGATGGCTAGACCAGGGGTCATTTCCTGCAGGAGCGCACAGGAGCGGAGCTCTGGAAGTAAAGAGCAGGGGGCGGGCGCATGCAACAAGCCCCACCCCCTGCTCTCAGTAGCCCTCAGTCAGAGCAGGAAGCAGCCAGGTAATTTGCAGAGCCTCCCCTGGCCCCGCGGTCCAAAACAGTCCAGTGGCACCTTTAAGACCGAGTTTTATTCAGGTACAAGCTCCCCCTCCTCTGCGAGGACAGATCTGCACGTTCCCCCCCCCCATAGCTAGCATAGCTAGTGTGTTGCCTTCTGACATACTTCTGGTGATGTCAGGGGGTGTGGCCTATGCAAATAAGTTATGCTAATGAGTTATGCTAATGAGCTCCTGCACCTCTTTTTCTACGAAATGACCCCTGGGCTAGACCAATAGTAGGAAAAGACTTTGGATGACTGACAAGGCATGGACCAATGGTATTACATTGTAGAATGGTACCACACTGATGCTCCCCAAATAGCAGTCAGTTCCAATCTAACATTGTGCGCCTCTGTCTTCTTACAGGACCACTGCTATTATGAAGGTCACATCCCAAATGATAGTGGCTCTACTGCGAGCATCAGTGTGTGCCATGGCTTAAGGTAAGATGTGTCAAAGGCCTGGAAAGTATTTTCATTGGTTTGCATGGGTTGTTAACTCAAAAGAACCAAGTTTGGTGGGATAACAACTTAAAATACACAGCAGCAGCTCCAGGAGAGCATTTTTGGATGATATCGAGAGTATCTTCCAGCTTTGCTGCCTCTACACTGCCAAGGATTCAGGTCTTGAATCATGAACTTTATCATCTGAGGCCAAGGGTCTGTGCCAGTGACCTATGGAGGACTACAGATTATAGCTCCCAGATGCCAGATGTTGGAAGATGCTGAACTCCAGTGATCCACATGGAGAATGAACCTTTCTGCTGTTCTCTGGCTGTTGAGCAGACTCCTTAGCCTGCAGGGTAGGAGAATGTGATCGATCTCCAGGTCTGAATCATATCCTGGGTGCTTAAAACCTGGCTCTGACAGTGGTAAACCACAGGGTCAATTTAGGAATTGGAAAAGACGTAATCTGTAAATCTGATTGATCCAGATTTGGTTCTGATTTTAGTTCTGGGTTCAGAAATGAGTTTTGCCAACTGCACGTTATGTGTTCTGTGGATTGGTGTGACAAAAAAGCAGTAGAATTGGCATAATCTTTGTACACAGGAAAGTGGGAGCTTATGAATAAGGAACACGACTGGAAGACAGGAGGAAAACACATGCATTAATACAAGGAAAATGCTCATTCTCTCCCTGGCCACTGACACCTTTTGCAGAAATTGCTTGATAGTTTTCGGGCTTATCTTCATGTCTGTGATTTCTAGGAACGTGTTTTAAAATAAACAAAGCCTAGATATGTGTGACTCTCAGGATACAAGATTCAGAGGGAAAAATCTCTCTATTCAGATTTTAAAAAATTACCAGAGTGAGCCAAACTACTGAGAATTTGAAATCATCTGATTCTGTTACTGTAACAATTATGACTTAATAACATATACATCCAAGGATGTGGAACAAGAGAAACAGACATGGAGAATGCCAAATGGGTTTGGAGGACAAAGGGGGTGGAGGATAAAAGTGATGTAGAAAAGGAGAGGGAAATGGCTTAACTAATGAAAATGAGGAGTTTATCGGTAAAGGAACATGGTGCTTTAGGATGAGTCAGACCCAGAGGTCATTTCGGGGGGGATCGCGGGGGATCGCAGTTCCCCTGGGTGAGGTACGGGGGGCGGGGCACATGACAAAGCCCCGCCCCCCACTTCCGGCCGCCCCGTTCTGGCCCTCATTCAGCCAGGAGAAGGCCGGAGAAGAGGGAGGGTAAGTTGCTTCCTCCCTGCCTCTCCCCACCCCTGCCTGCCTGGGGCCAGAGAGGGCCTTTGCGGGGCTTCCTTGCACTCCCACCGGCCTTGCAGGTCCACCGCCAGGCCCCTCATGGGGCTCAGCAGTGGAGCTGCAAGGCCGGCGGCAGCCGGGACCGCTGGGGGCGGGGTGTGTGGCCTTATGACACACTTCCGGTGATGTCAGGGGGTGTGGCATATGCTAATGAGTTATGCTAATGAGTTCCCCTAGCTCTTTTTCTATGAAACGACCCCTGGTCAGAACTATGCAGAGTCTATGCAGCCAAGGACCAATATCTTTGACTAGCAGCCCAGCCCTGCTGCCTTAGATTCTTTAACCTGTAGGTTCTAAATATTGAACCTGGAACCTCCTGCATGCAAGGAACCAGGAATTACATGGCCTGACGTGGACACGGTGGCGGTGCCATGGCTTGGTGATACAAATAAACACTGCATGCAGAAATTCTCTGGTTTCCAGTTTATCTTCAGTTTAAAAATATCTCAGGTAGCAGGTACTAGGAAAGTAGGTGCTTTTATCTGTCATACTGGAGAGGTGCAGCCACTCTGAGTATGCAATCCAGATCTAGTTGGACTGAGGGGGTGGCTTGATATAAGGCAGCTTCATATTCATGTATCATGTGTTGAACACTGTGCTGTTGGTGGGTCCTTCCTAATGGCCATGAGGAGTGTAGGATGTGGTCTCAAGGGTCAGATTAGCAGAGGGTAGAACAGATAATTCATTAGAAAACTGGCAACATGCCTGATCTAGTGGAATGTGAAAATACAAAGTTACACATACAACATATGCTTTGTTAAAACCATTGTGAATTTTTATTACAATGTGAGAATCAGATAATCTCCACATTGTAAATCCTTTTCCTTTCCCCCCCCTGCATGATGTATTTATTGATACGGCAATTAATTTAATCTAATTATGTTTAATTTATTTAATTAAATGATAGATCAATTAAATAGAAATGGGAATCTTTCCTGGTCATCCTATAATGAAATGTTGTTCCAATGCTTTACAGAGGTTACTTCAAGAGCCGCGGCAAAAGGTATCTTATTGAACCCTTGAAGTCCTCAGACAGTGAGGCACATGCAGTCTACAAATATGAACATCTCGAAAATGATGAGGCCCCCAAGATCTGTGGGGTTACCAACACTACGTGGGAATCGGAAGATCCCCTCAAAAAGACCTCCAGGGCGAGTACCAGTGCAGAAGTAAGTCTCACCCCACAGCTTCAAACTTAGGAAATGGTTTGAGAGCAATGACTGCATTGTAATATCAACATTCTAAAATAATTTGCACATTTTGTTTTCAAATGATTTTTTTTGGGGGGGGAGAAATTATGATTGGTTAAACTCTAAGTGACAAGTTTTTGTTTTTGTTTTTAAACTATTTTGGTTTAGTGTTTCTGTAAAGCACCTCGAAAGCCTTGTCTTTGTACAATACCATATAAATGGTATAATATAAACTAAGACATAAGAAAATACTGAAGCTGCCGTTTCGTTTCTTTTCTTATTTAAAGAAAACTGTGGGCTACATCAAGTTCCCTGTAGGCACAACCCATGAATATGGGGGTATCCCCATAAGGCATAAGTCCCATTCTCACTCTCTCCATGCTGTGTGCGAGTGGGAATTACAGAAAATTGGAGGCTTGTGTGTACCCCCTGTGCCCTTTTCTAGTCTTTTCCTACTCTCTGAGCTTCAGCACGAGTTCAGTGTCATGGACAGGACTATGGGAGGTGTGCACGGATGTCTCATTTCCTTAAAAATCCATGTGTAGCAGGTGGAATGGGAAATATTCCCTTTACAATTCCTTCACTTTATGGAGTCTACCTGTGGTAGACATGGTTGATCCCCATCAATTTATTTTATTTTATTTTATAATTTTTATTTTTACTTTCTACATAAATCTTACAAAACTACACACTAGCTAAAATTACAGTTATATAACCATATATGATGATAATTAATATCTTAAGTCAAAGCTTTTCTCTTATTCAAGTTAAGAATAAAAATTCTATTCTGTTATTTTGATATGCAAAAAAGTAAAGTTATTAACAATGCAAGATTATGTAATGTAATATGAACATTTCTTCTAAAGTTTAAGCTATTTTCTGCCTTTCCTTCCTCTCTTCTTGCTTTTATCGTCTCGGGGTGGTTTGGGTGCTACCTCTCCCAATTCTGATTCAGATTCTACTTCTGAACTGCTATCTGAAGATGTTTCATGGCTTTCCAAGCCATGCGAACTGTCCAGTTCTCCTTCTTCCTCCTCTGTGTTCTTTGTGTTGAACACTTTTTGGATTCCTGATGTCTTTTCAAAAACTGCTTCACTTTGGTAAAAGAGTCAATCTTTTCTTTTTTGCCTTTGTAGTTGAACATCAAGGCCGGCCTGCCCTCCCTTCCAATACTTGTATCTTACTGTATGCAGCAATTGTAGAATCTGATCCTACAGTAAATTTCTAAAAGCAAGCTATAGTTATCGTCTTATGTGTTTGATTCCTTCCAAATGTGTGATTGGTAGCCACCATTCCTTCACAGGATTTCCCTCCTCTCTCTTTTTTTAAGAAAAGGACTTATACAAAGATTTGGGGTGATATGCAAATATATTTAAACAATTGATTGATTGATAAATTTATCAGGTAGCAGCCCTAGAAATAACCAGATATTTTTACCCAAGAAAGATTTGGAAGAAAATAAAGAAAGGCCAGCTAGATGCACCCAAAGATCCATCTAATTCTACATCATATTTCCCACAGTCTCTAATTACACGCCTTCATGAATTCTACAGGTTAGGCAAGGAGGCAATAAACAGGGGAGTGCACATTTAAAAATCCAAGGTTTAATCCCTGGTAACTCCATTTCAAAAGGATTTCAGATAGCAGAGCTGGAAAGAGCTTTTTCATGACATGTTAGAGAATGTCTGCTTGTCAGACTAGGCAGTACTGTGCTCAGTGGACCAATGGTCTGAATTGGTATGAGGCACTTTCATATGTTCATGGGAGGTGGGCATACTTGACCTTTTCCATACAATAGGGATAACAGGCTAGTTCTTCTTAGGGTATCTTTGTAAACAATTTTGTCAGCATATAAAAGCTCCATCTTGTACTGTTTGTGACATTGTGTTGAAAAGACGGTAGAAGTATATTCATGCATTCAGAGTGTAGTCAAAGCAGTATAGGAAGCATTGTAGCAATGCTTCCTAAACTATCTTTGTTTATTCTTAGTGACACCATTAGGTAGCCAAATCTCATTGGCAATGTGGCCATGGGATGTCATCATATTGACTAAGATCTCTGGTTAGCTGGGATCAATCAAAGAAGGAGAAAGTGGGAGGAAAACAAAAGAAGCACAAAAGAAGCAGCAGAGAGGGAAAACAATGGCTGCAGAAAGCTGAGACGAGCTGCAAGCAGACACAAGAAATGACAGAATAAGTTTTCTTTCAGACAGCACTTCCTCAGGCAAAGTATCGCTTCCTGATTTACAGTGACGCATGGTGTTATGCTTCTCTGAGACCTCTATGTATTTTCATGAAACTGAGCACAGTTTGCAATATATAAACATGACATATTTTTACACATTCACCAAGTGACCCACCAGGGAAAAAAAAAAGATAACCCAAACTGCCATATTTTAGCAGAACGTTAGTGGAAAAATTAGTCTTGCTAGCCACCATGCAATTCCTGTACTCCATTTCATTATTCATTCATCAATGAGAACCGGAAACTTTAACATTCTTTAACATGCTCTAATCTTATAAATGGGACAATTTAATTATCCCAGTGCTTTGACCAGGCTGTAAAACAATAATCTTTTGATTATCTGATGATCCCACATTCCTCATTAGCTTGCTGGTGGGTAGGTGGTACATCAGCACACCTCTCAACAATCGTTGCTTTATATTTTTCTTTAGAAGCAAGCGTACCTGCGGGCCAGAAAGTATGTTGAACTTTACATAGCTGTGGACAACACAGTGGTAAGTATTTGGTTGAATGGTTTGCTTTTTCTTTACAGGCTGCCATTTTTAATAGGAGGGTATCTTAACATAAGAATTGGCAGTCTTGATCAGGCCATTGAGTCCCAGATTCTGATTCTGGGAGCACTTTGGCAACCTCACCAGTAAAACATCATGGTGATTGCCTTCTTTGGCTGCTTTTTAATTTAGCCTCTGGGATTATTTATTTATTGAGTACATTTCTATTCTGTTCTTCATCTCAGAAACTTTGTCTTGGAAACCAATATTCCTGTTAAGTCCTCAGGATTTCATTATAGAGGGCAGGGATATTGGTTTCTTATCTCACTACATATGCCAACCTCATTCAGTCCTTACATCTGTATTCTCACCAATCCTCCAAAAGGGCTACATATCCTCTTTATTTTATTTTATTTCTTATTTGGAATAGTAGATGGTAATGTAATGTAATGAATAGTAGAATGTAATGTAATTTGGAATGGTAGATTGGAATGTATTTCTCTCGTCTGGAGACAGAGGAGATACACTACACAGCCAATCACCCCACCTCAAAAAGGAAGATGATGTAAGGTGACTCGCACGCTTAAGAGGAGATGGATGGTGCGTAATGGCAGGGTCTCCGTTAATTATTATCAGTATTCCACAATTAAGAAGGATATATCTGCCCATCAATCTCCAATTTTGATATATTTATTTCCTTCACGATGTTTTCCCCTGGAATTAAACTCAAGCAAATGATAATCATCGAAACTGAGCTTGTTATTTCTGTTTGGTCCTTGAATCTGTTAAACATTTTCATTATGTTGTATGCTAATTTGCTGCTCACCCTCTGCCTATATGTATGGACTGATCACTTCTGTTTCAATGTATCTGAAGAAGTGTGCATGTACACAAAACCTTATACCTTGAATAAAACTTCGTTGGTCTTAAAAGTGCCACTGAACCTGAAATGTGTTCTGTTGCTTTCAAACCAACACAGCTACCCTCCTGAATCTATCTGTTAAAAGGTTGTGGTATCCCACAATCTTGTGAGGACCACAAGGCAACCCAGATGGCTCTTGATCCCTCCATTTTTATCTCCATAGCAACCTTGAGAATGTGATTGGCCCAGAGTCACCCACTGAACTTTGTGAATGAATCGGGATTTGAACCCTGGTCTCCTAAGTCCGACACTCTAACCACTACCTCATACTAGCTCTCTGTAATTCCATAGTTTAATTATGTAGTGCACGACCTCACCAGAGTTCAGCATTTTGAGTACAACTGAGTTCTCTGGGAGACTTAAGCACATCTGCTATTTTCCCTCATGGAAACAACTTAAAATATATATATCTTTTTTCTGGATTGTGCCCATGTTCCATGAGAAAGCAAAGACGTGTATGTACTGTATGTTTTTTAGATTAATGATCTGTTTGGCTGATGCTGTGTTCTCTGCTGACTGGGTGGAAAGGCAGGGAAATTTACAGAATTCCATGACTGGGTACTCATAATGCAATCTTAAGCAGAGTCACACCCATCTATTGACTTCAATGGATTTAGAAAAGTATAACTTTTCACAATTGCACTGTAAGGGTAATATTTACAAATGTTTAATTCCATACAAATTCCTTATTCAGTTATGTATTTCACTAGAAAGCCATTGCTTATACTTGATTATAACGTCATTCATTTTAATAAAACCAGTTGGATTAATTGGTAGTTTCTGTCACATGATAAAAGCATTGGACTGAATAACTGAGAGATCCACACTAAACCTTGGTTTTCGCTTTTTAATTTTTTTCCAGCAGTTTTTTCCCCAAGACAAGAATGTAGCTATATATGGCTGAGGGTTGGCTCTGTGGTCAGAGCTGTCAAAAGGGAAATGTCTAATTCTTAAACGATTGCCTAAAGTGGAAATGGCATCTGCCCCCAAACCAATTTCTGTTAAAAATAATTTGCACAAGATCAGCTGTTTCTTTTTCCAGAAGTATTAGAAGATCTTTGTCTGTTGTGACCTTTGAAGCAGACTCCATTGGGACTATGAATCTGGTTTTCTTTTTAAACACACTCACCGAAGCCTTGGGAGGTTTAAAAGGATTTTGGAAAGGTCACACAGGATCAATATGTCTTGATTTTCCTGTGCTATATATTCTGCAATAAGAGGTATCTAAATCAGAATAAATTTAAAAATGCAACTAAATAAATAGACAGTTCTGTCTAGAGATCTATGTGGCAGAATCAGCATCCACATCTTCTGAAGCAAATTGGTAGCACCATTTGTTGGGTTGGATCCAATGGTTCCCTTTCATTGGAAGATTACTCCTTCTACTGAAGAAAGGATTCCTTTCATACCTGGCTTGACAGTAGTATATGTAAAAAGGATCACAGGATTGTGATCCATCACAAGCTGAACATGAGTTAACAATGTAACATGGCTGCACATAAAAGGCTAATGCGCTTTTTGGCTGCATTGATAGAAGAATCCAAGTCATGAGAAGTAATACAGGGCAGTAGTCAGACCTCATCTGGAGTACTGTGTGCAATTTGGGGCGCTGTGCTTTCAGACATATGTAGAGAAACTGGAACGGGTTCAGAAGAGGGCAACAAAGATACTTGGGGCATCTGAAAAACAAAAGCAGATGTTGAAGGACCTGGGTATGTTTAGTGTAGAGAAGAGAAGACCGGGCAGGGGATGGATTCATGTTCATGCTTTTTTTCTTTCTTTCCTATAACCTACAAGAAAAATAGGGAAGGGGAAACTATAAACTATGGGGGAAAGAAAAGATAAACTACTAAAAACCCAAGAGGTGGGGGTCATATAATGCTTACAGTAAAATAGCTTTGAATAAAATAAAAGAGTAGTTTGTTACATTGTAGGTGATTGTTAACGTCGCTTAAATAATTCAAGTCCAGGTATGGTGACTTAGTAAAGAACCGTGCACAAGAACGGTTAAATAATAAGAATCAAAAGTCAAACTTCAGAGAAAACTAGCATCTAATTTGCCTCTTCTTTCCCTCAATCTATATCCTTGCTTGGGGGCAGCCGCCCCACGTTCCGAATCTGAATCTTCTCCAGTAAGTGCTTCATCATCACTCCCCTCATTGCTCTTCTCATCCTCTTCATTTGTTGCTGCAGAAACTCTCTTGCTTTCATAACAGAGTCAATTTTCCCCCTCTTATCTTTAAATTTGAAGAGTATGACTTCGGGTACGATCCATTTGTAGGATATGTTGTTCTCTTGTAAAAACAAAGCCACGTCTTTGTATTTTTTCCTTTTTTTCTTTATTTCAAAGGGAATGTCTCCTTGCCATCAATTTTAAGGGTAGTTCCATTTGTTAATTTTAATATCTGATCCCTCACTTGTTTCTTGGAGAATCTCACCACCACCTCACCGGGCAGATTATTTTTCTTTATGTATTCTGAATATGACCTATAGATCACATCCATTTCGCCTTGAAGAAAATCCGCTTTAAAATCTGCCACCGGTCCCAAAGCATCACTCAAAATCTGTTTAAGATTCTCCCGTTTAGTCTCAGGAACTCCCTGAAATCTCAGTATAAAGCTTGCCTTTTCCATTTGTAGCTGTAAAAGCTGGGCTTCATCAGAGTTTCTCTTCTTTTCCATATCCTGCATTTGCTTTTTAAGCTTTTTGGTGTTGGCATCCACTTATTTCAGATTCTCAGCTGTTTGCTCTGTTGTTTTTTTTTAAGTCTCATCCAGTTGCTGTTGCTGTGCAGTGAAATTTTGATTGAGTGTCTTCATTTGCTCCAGCAGGGGTCGCAATGCTTCTGTTAGCATCTTAGAGAAGTCTATGGTTGTTTCCGGTTGCGTGACTGCACTCGTTGGGCTAGCACTTCCTGAAGGAAGCTTAGGTTTTGTTTGCTTACCTTTCTCTGTCTTCTTCAGCGACATCTTTGAAGCTGTTTACCTTTAACAAAGTTTGCCAAAAGTCTCTAAAGTCTGCAAATCGCCTGTAATTTCCTTGTAAGTTCCTTACTATAGTCCCATTTTGCTTTCAGTTCCGACCCCTCCTTTAAAAGGCATGCTTTAAGTCCATTTTTATATCCATGTGGGAGGATTCCCGTCTCCCCTCGCTTCCTTTAGGGGGGACTTTCAGCCATTTCTCTGGTTCTCATTTCAACCAAACTCACTTTCAATGTAGATCATGTAGATCTTGCCATCAAACATGTAAAATGCTCAACCTCCACTCGTTTGTCCCAGTATGCGTCTCTGAGTCCAGTACTGGAACACAGTGGTGAGAGTGTCAGGGCATCGGAATGCCTCAATCCACCAGCTCCATGCTGGGGGAGAGGCGATCCTCAGCACCCCGTGGCTAGGAGCCCTTCACAAAGGCTCTGGGGGGGCGCATACAATAGCACCCCCTCTCATCTGCCAGGTCACGGATCACATCCTCGGGAGCTCCCGAGAGACGCATTCGCCATTAGAATGCCAAAACCGGAAGTTCCATTTTCATGCTTTTTGAATTCCTGAAGGGCTGACATTGGGTAGAGGACAAATAGATGTTTTTTGCTACTGCAGAAGGCGACAGTAAATCTAATGAGCTTCAGATTTCAGAAGTGTACATTTCAGTTGAACATTATGAGAAACTTGTTGCTGGGAAGAACTGTTGGCCAATGGATGCACTTATGTGGGGGAGGGGCTGTCCTTAACTTCAAGTCTTCAAAGAGGCTGGACATCCATCTGTTGGAAATACCTTAGCTTTGGATTTCATGTGTTGAGCAGGAGATTGGACTATATGTCCCATATAGACTCTTTTGGCTCTAGAATTCTAGGGTTCATTGGAAGAAGGACTGCCCACTTAGAGGACTGAAGCCATTTGGTCCAGTCCATTGCAAGCCTCACTAGCTGGTGGTCTAATATTAATCATGATCATATTAATCATGGTGGACTGGCTATTTAGCTTAGTTGGTATGTGAAGAAGATAAAATTCAGATTAACCATGAGGTGACTGAGATTCATGCTGAACCCAAAATGGTAGAAATATATAACTTCAAGATCTTCAAGTGGTCATCTGTGCAGCCACACACCATGGGTTTCACACCTACGTTAAACCTCGTCAGGAAACAAATCCATGTGCCCTAGAGAAGTTTTTTAAAAAGTTTTATACGAAGTTAAAAAGAGATTAATTCATGGTAGGCTGCATGTGCAACATTAGTGATGCTGCTGACATTGCTACATCACTCTTGGGGAAAACCTGGAAGTCTGACAGTCCCAATTTCATGAAGATAAATTTAGTTACGTAGCTGTGTTGGTCTGAAGTGACAGAACAAAGTTTGAGTCCAGTGGCACCTTTAAGACCAACAAAGTTTAATTTTGGGTATAAGCTTTCATGTGCATGCACAATGTGTGCATGAACATGAAACTTTATACCCAGAATTAAACTTTTGTTGGTCTTAAAGGTGCTACTGGACTCAAACGTAGCCCTAATTCCAGGCAATGAAAAGTGCTGCACAAATAGCACCCTGAAAAATATTATGCCTAAGTCTGGATGTCTAATCGGAAAGAACCTGGAAGGAGCTTCAGGCTGCTCAATGTGATTCCCTTATGACTACACCCCTAACTTTCTCTCTCTTCTCTCTCTCGGCATCTCTGAATGCTTGTGTTTGCAGTTTAGGAAATACAGCCGCAATATTACTGGTGTAAGGACAAGAGTATTTGAAATAGTCAATTATATAAACATGGTAAGATGATTTTTTGTTTATTCATTTATTATTATTAATCAGTATTATTATTATTTGTTGCATTTATTTGAAATATTCAATTATATAAACATGGTGAGATTTCTTCTTCTTCTTCTTCTTCTTCTTCTTCTTCTTCTTCTTCTTCTTCTTCTTCTTCTTCTTCTTCTTCTTATTTTATTGCTTTTGGTAGGACTAATGCTCAGGTGCTGGATCTGGCCTGTCATTTGGCCATTTGTGTGTTAAAAGGAGAGATACTCCAGAAATATTTATGTTCATTGTTATGGACTCTGTATAGTCTGAGATGAGTACTGCACATGTGTAGACCCCCCCCCCTGTGTATGTGCAGTGCCTTTGTTTGCACAGATGACCATTCAGTGAACATCAGCTTTGGGTAAAGGCAACATTGTCCACACTTTACAACAAACAGAAAGACTGGTTTTTTTATTGCTATGTAAAAAGCAGTACCGAACAAAGGGACCTGTGTAGCCCACTACCATCTCTGCTGAATGACTGTAGTCCTCTAAGGAGTTAGACAGAGGCCTTTCTCAGCCTTCTACCTAAGATCCTTTAAGTGCCAACGAACTGAACTAGCAAATTGATTTTAACAGTCACCAGTATCCCTTCTTATCCTTTGGTATAGCAGAAATATAAGACCTGTGTCTTGATCAGGGGTCATTTGGGGGGGGGACGTGGGGGGACGCCATCCCCCCGGGTGAGGTGCGGGAGGGCGGGGCCTGGAGCTCCCTGCTGGTGCCCGCTGGAGGTCGCCGCCGGCTGTGGGGAGGACACACTTCCGGTGATGTCAGGGGGTGTGGCATATGCTAATGAGTTATGCTAATGAGTCCCCTAGCTCTTTTTCTACGAAATGACCCCTGGTCTTGATCATATTCTCAGATGGCAAATAGGGACTCACAGAATTGAATTCTACTGCAGACTAGCTTTCTCCCTGACATGCTAATTTCTATTTCCCCCCCCCCTTTGGAGGAGCATTCCATCATATGAGTCTCTACCTGCATTCTGAAGTGGTGTGGCAAAAGTACAGGCTGACCACCTCGGTGAGAACTCAGCTTACGCAAACAGTAGAACAAAGCTCGATTCAGCTGTCTTTGTGGTGGTGGAAAGTGCTGTCAAGTCACAGCTGGCTTATGGGGACCCCATAGGGTTTTCAAGGAAAGAGACATTCAGAGGTGGTTTGCCATTGCCTGCCTCTGCATCATGACCCTGGTATTCCTTGTTAGTCTCCTATACAAATACTGCTAAGACCCTGCTTAGTTTCCAGGATCTGACAAGATCAGGCTAGCCTGGGCTATCCAGGTCAGGGCAGGTGTCTTTGTAAGCTGTGTGAATACCGGTCAGATCTCAAAATCGTTACAAAAACTCTTGTGCCTATATTTAAGGGGGCACAGGTGGGAAAGCTCTCTCAAGCTAAGTTCCCAAGAGAGGTATAGCCAGACAATGCAGCAATTCAGGCACCGCTGGTTGATACAGTTTCAGTCAGAAATCTTACATCATTATTTTAAAACATGTGCAATTTCACCTGCATCTAAGTCAAAAACACAAAAAACCACAGAGTATTTTCGTGTTCTGTGCTCCCACAGGTTTACAAAGCCTTAAACATTCACGTAGCTTTGATTGGCTTAGAAATTTGGTCTGACGGGGACAAGATTGTCGTGGACGTTTCCGCTGGCACCACTTTAGACCGATTTTCAGAGTGGAGGAAGGAGGTTCTGCTGCAGCGGAAGAGGAATGACAATGCCCAGTTACTCACGTATGTCTCATAGCGATCACAGGGGGTGGGGGGTGGTCACTTTCAGAATGCTGATATGCACCTCATGATGGAGCAAGGGAACCACCAGAAATGTAGTGTTGCCAACCTCCAGGTGGGGCCTGGAGATCTCCTGGAATCGCAACTGATCTCCAGGCTTACAGAGATTAGGGCCCCTGGAGGAAGGGACTGCGTTGGAGGGTGGACTCAATGGCATTATATCCCATTGAACATCCACCCCTCCTCATACCCTGCCCTCCTCAGGCTCTACCCCAAAATCTCGAGGAATTTCACAACCTGGAATTGGCAACCCTGTACCATACACTTCAAAAATGATTTGGGCCTGTGTTCTCAGGATCCTCTCAAGGGCATGTCAGAGCACTGTTCAGTTTCTAAGAGACTGACACTGCATGGGAACTTTCCCATCTTCCTTGAACGAAAGACCTACTTCTTCGCGTAAATCTTAGACAAACATTTGCAGCTACTCAGTAGTTACTCGAAGGTACATTTCTTTGTTATTCAGTATGACTTCCTTTGGGAAGAGAGATGTCCCAGTAATGGGAAGGGATGGTGCTAAAGGGATGAAAAGAGGAGAGTGCAGGTACAGCAATGCATCGTGTTTTTGACATTTGTTATCACTAAGATTATTTATCCTATTCAAGTGCCTGGCTTGGGTAGAAAAGCTATGCTCTTTTTATTTTATTTTTAATTTTAGTATTTAGTACATCTTTTTAAATGGTCTTTTAACCTCTACATATGACTGGGTTGAGCTTGCATTATTCTAATTCATTAATGAATTAATAAATATTACTTCCCAGCCACCAGAACAGAATCCCTGCCTCACCCTTAAGCATGAAATGAAAGTAGGGACAGATCGGTCTATTTATCATTCTTGAACCATTTTGATTGTGGGCTGGTATGAAAGGATATTTGAGGCATTCTGCATCTGAAGCCCTGCCACCTCCCACAACTGGTGATATTCACGTTGCTGGTAAGCTCACCAGATGTCTGAATGTATCAACAGTATGCTGTAGCAGTGAAAAAGGCAAATTTAGTATTAGGAGTTATTAGAGCAGGATTTAATACCAAAATGTGTCATAATGGAAACCTACCGTGCGTCTGCAGATCAACAGTGAACCCTGACAGCTGTTCAGAGACATATGTTAGGCTGACGTATGTCAACAGATGAAACACCAACAGATGGAACAACTGTATACTGAGCCAAGACCTTTGGTCCATTTAACTCAGTATTCTCTATGCAGACTAGCAGCAGCTCTCTAGGCTTTCAGACACATGCGGCTGCCTTAGACCGTTGGTCTATCAAGGTCAGTATTGACCGGCAGCAGCTCTGCAGAGTCTCAGTTAGAGGTCTTTCAATTCACCTGCTTCCTGGTCCTTTTAACTGGAGATGCTGAGGATTGAACCTTGGACCTTCTGAATGCAAAGCCAATGCTCTGTCACTGAGCTATGGCCCCTCTAAGACCTTCCCCAACAATTGCCATAGTTTAAATGGAGATACCAGGGGCTGAACCTGAGGATTTCTACAGGTAAAGCATTGACTCTGCCACTGATCCACAGCTGTTGCTTTGTGGCTATGATTTTATGTCATTTAATGATGAGCGAAATGACATCAGCAATAATGTCTTCATTAGTAAAGCTGGTGGACCTGTGGCACTCATAGGTTTTACAAGTAATTTAATAATTGAAATGGCTGTCACAGGTCCCCCCAATCTGATTTCCACCCCTTTTTCCTTCCAGGGGGATTGACTTCGATGGTCCAACAGTAGGGCTGGCCTATGTGGGAACCATGTGCAGTGCTGCCCACTCATCAGGGGTTGTTCAGGTTGGTTTTGATTTTGGAATTGGAAAGTTCAGCTGACAAGCCAGTTCTTGCAGACTAGTGCTCAAAGAAGTTGAATTAGAAGGCGCGTCTATATTACAAGCCTAAAGCGATTTGACTGCCATGGTTCCATCTTCCCACAGAACCATGGGAAGTTTAGTTTGTGTGTTGGTGGATAAGCATGCATGCCTCATTAGGCATGAGAATGTAATATAATTCTCGATCTTCTCTTCCTCGCAGAAACTGAATTCTCAGATTCTTGGAGGGATGCCATTCCTGTTGAGATGATGTTGACATAGAATTAATTCATGATGCGGATATGCTCAAAGTGCCACTGAGAACTAGATTCCTTTAGCTTGCTTATTTTATTAAAGTATTAAAGTATTAATAACTTGCTTTTCCTCATGGTTCATGGACTGGAAAATGCCAACATATAAAAAAGACATATAGAAAGGGGGAACAGTCGATAAATGCAGCATATCATTGAGTTTTGTAAATTCAGTTTGAAGATTTATATGCTATAGCCATTTTGTAATTGGCTACATAGCATTTTCCTTTGTTCTGAATTCTGGGATTGCATAGTTGTCTCTTGAATCTTGATCAGTCTGGCAAAATTTGCGATACGTCAAGACAAATGCAGCCTACCAGCCACAGCAATGTACTGTGTTGTATGTCAAATTCAAGTTCAAAGTTTATTTCAATACAATATCAGTAATAATAAGGATTAAAAATAAGAATAGAATAGAATAGAATAAAATATAAGATTAAGTGCTGATTGTGAGGGGACGGAGACAGGGAGGTTATTATTAAGACTCGATCAGCCGCTTGTGTATCCCACATGCCCAAAGGCAAAATGTAGCTACTTTATTTGTTATCTCCTGGGAGGAATCTGCAAGAAGGAGGGAGTCGTAAAATTGCTCTGATCTTCCTGGTAGAGTTGATAGGACTGGGACTATGTACTGAGATGGAATGTCATTGTAGAACGGGCAGTGCAGCAGCGCATGGTCAATAGACTCTACTTTCCCTGCATGGCATGGGCAGAGCTGTTGAGGGAGTGGGACATGATGGTATCTGCCTTCCAGGAGGGTTGAGGGTAGAGGTGTACATCAGACACTTGAGAAGCTCTCCTTTTGCAATCTCAGTTTGGCAGCCAAAGTAGGAGGTTTATCGAACCATGGCTTGGTTACTACACATGGCTTAGTGGGCTATATTTGGCTTTGGTAGGGTTGCCAAGTGAATTTCACTCACCGGCGGGGGAGCCTCGCCGCGCACCGGGAGCCGTCCCTCGTCATGCGCACACGTGCCGCCAGCACATCATCGGAAGTGACGCGCGACGTCGATCGCGTTGAGGGCATGGCCCCAATCGTTGGAGGGAAAACCATAGAGTTTTCCCTCCGACGATCAGGGCCACGCCCCCAACGTGATCAACGTGGTTGCGTCACCTCTGGTGACGCAGCCACGCTGCGCTTCGGGGGGCGGAGTCCGCGGCGGTGGAAATCGGGCCTCCAAAGCGGGGGTTTACCCGCCCCCCGCCCCCACTTGGCAGCCCTAGGCTTCGGTCATGGTTGGTTGAGTCTTATATATTTTTAATTGATATGCTGAACTGATTTATACCTTGCCTTTCCAATGAATTGTTGAAAGATCCTAGTGTAGGGCCCCCCAACTTTTTGCAGCCTAGGGTGGTTTGCGCAACCACCAAAGGGTGGCCACAGAAGCGGGAGCCAGTCTCACAGTGAAGATCTCTGTGCTGTCGTGGCAGCTGCTGCCAAAGCAAGGGTTTTTAAAAACTGCACAGCCTGTCAGAAACCCTGTTGGGCAAAAGACCCACCTGGCCCCTCTCACTTTCTAAAAGTGTCAGCAAGTGCCATGGGCACTATTTTGGAGGCGCCCTCCACTAAAGAATCAACCTGGCCAAAATCCTGTTTACCATAACGACCAAACAACCAATCATCAAAATATGACAGAACAGAGACAAGGCAGTAGGTAATCAACTCAAAGGTGATCCTAAAACAAAATGATGGAGGATCAGAGTCTCCCGAAGCACACAGACGAGTTCTTTGACAGATATTCCAGGGCCAGTGATAAGGGGATCTCCTGCAGGAAGGCATTCCAAAGCTTTGGGTCAACAATAGAAAAGGCCCTTTCTTTGGTCACCACCCAACTTACCTCTGTTGACTGGGGGGACCTATAGAAATGTCTCTGATGCAGGTCTCAGGTTCAGATGGGAAGGAATTTTTAGCTCACTTTTCAGCCAAAAAGTGGCTCCCAAAGAAGCTTAGCGAACTTGACATCCAGTACAAAGTTCAAGTTAAAATGTCACACAAGTGCTTTCAGGAAGTGGGTTTGCCATAAGTTCTGGGTCCAGGAACTATTCAGGGGGTGCTTGATTACTGCCTTGCCTCCCTCGGACGGCCTCAGCACTGGCACTTGGTAGCTGCAGGTCTTACTTGTAATGAAACTTCCTTGGAAAGAAATGTGACTGATCTTCCTCCAATGCATTTACTTGGCTGTTTATGACCTGTTCCCTTTTATTTTGCTTTGCCTGGGTGCTTTTGCCTGAGAGAGGCATGGAACCTTGTCAAATACAAACAGCTAAACCTGGGCCAGAATATTATCTCTTGTGGGTATGTGTCATTGATAAATAACAGCCCTTTCCTGTTTCCCAGGAGTCTAACAATAGTTTCACTGTTCTCCTTTCCGCAGGATCACAACACAAACCCAATTGCTATTGGCGCCACTATGGCCCATGAAATGGGCCATAACTTTGGCATGAATCATGACAGCAGTTTCTGTACATGCAGTTCAGGCTCCTGTATCATGGCGGCACAGCTCAGGTGAGGTGATTGGCAGAGTACATGCAGGGCTGGCTCCAGTTTTTTGTTTTGTACACTAGGCAAGGCTACCTTCTGGCGCCCTCCTCCCCATGCGCCCACTGATTATGGGGTTGCCAACCTCCAGGTGGGGTCTGGAGAGAAGGAAGACTTTCCTCCGTGCAAACTCTGCACTACCCTCAGTCACCGTGGTTAGTAGCCATTGATAGACTTATCCTCCATGAATCACTCTGATCCTGATTTAAAGCTGCTTATTCCTGTGGCCATCACTACACCTCTGGCAGTGAATTCCACATTTGAGTCACTCTCTGTAAAGCAGTATTTCCTTTGGTCCATCCTGAACCTACTGCCCATCATTGGAAGCCCTTGAGTTGGGAGAAAAAGGTCTCTTTGTCCACTCTCTCCACCCCATGCATAATTTTACAGACCTCTATCATGTTCCCCCTCAGTCATCAGATAGACCTGATGATGTGCAGTACCTAATAATGGTGCACTCATGCGCCTCATGATTTAACTTAGGACAGCAACATAGGGGAAAGGGTTAATTCCTCCCACATCTCTGAGAGTACAATCTACATATCAAAAGGCAGAAGAGTAAACACAGGAAGAAAACAGGGTTACTGCCTCTCTAGCTATCTGACTTTCTTGCCAGGAAGTCTGGAGGATGAGGCAGGGGACAGTGCCCAGTCCTTCACTTCCAACAGGCTTGAGGTCCCTTGTCATTCCGGGAGATCTCCCCGGGGGTTTGTAACAATGGTGAATAGAGCAGGGTGGAGATTCTTCCCTTCTCCCCCCCCCACTTGTTGAGAGGCTCCGCTGTAGGAGTTAGGCACTGCCCTCCCCTTTGGTCTGGCATTGGGAGACTCCTTCCCTTCTCCCCCCCCACAAGGTGCCCAGCAGTTCCTCCCTCCCTGGCCCGATTTCTTAGTGCGGGGGCATGCGCGGGGAAGTGGATCCAGCTCTGGGCTGGGCCCTGACAGCCAAGCGGCTGGGGGGGGGAGGCGGAGGCATGAGGAGGTGGGGGCGCCACTCCCGCCTGACTGGCCGGCTCACGGGGACCCTCGCCCTGTTTTGCCAACCCCCCCCCTTCTGGCCCTGCAGGCGCCCATTTCCTGCTCCAGGGCAAGTCCGAGTGCTGCTTTGCCGATGGGAACAGGGGTCACACTGGGAGTGTGTGGTGCGGGGTATTTGTGATTCACAAATTGTGAAGGAGGGAGGGCAGCCGGACGGAAGGAAAGGGGCTGGTCTGATGCGGCCCGGGCACAACTTAGAAGGAGGGATCGCAGCCCAGGCGGAAGGAGGAAGGGCGGTTGGTTGCATCGGGGTGGAAGGAGGCAGTGGCAGCGGCTGGGGGGGCTTTTGGCGGGGGGGAGGGCAGCAGGGCAGCAGGGCAGTTCAGGATGAAGATGGTTGGGGGGAGAAAGAGGCAGCGGTGGCTGGGGTCAGGGGGCGGCGCAGCATGCAGGGCTTTTAGTGGGCGGGGGCGCAGTTCGACGCCCACATGATCGGCCCGCTCTAGGCGAAAGTCTAGTTCGCCTAGTGAGCAGGCCGGCCCTGAGTACACGCAGAAGGAGTCTGCCAAAACCTGCTTGTTTGCTGACATGGGGCTGAATTAATCAAGCATTGTGATGAGCTGCATTCGTTTGGAAAACCAGCCCCATTTGTTTCATTGTGTTGTTCCTACTATAGAAGCAGATGGGGGGGGGACCAAAATGAATGAGAAAAAATGGGAAAATGTCATTCATTCAGTTTTGTGTTTGTTTTTCCATTGCTAAACAGTGGGAATGCAGTCAGGAATGCCAAGCTGGGAGACTGTTCACCCATTCGCCTCATCATGTAAAACGGTCCTCAGTGAAACCAATAAACAGCAAAATGTTCATGCTTTAGCTCATGGTTGCCTAATCACCAAAGGGCTTCTCCGGCACTGGAAATCTCTGTGACCTTTTATGTAAGACTCCTGCAGCCTTTGTGCAACATGTGACGTCTTGATGGTCATATGTGCTCTGTGGCAAAGGCTTGCACAGTGGCCATGGCTTCCTGTTTTAGGAAATGTTGAAGCCAGAAAGCCTGTTCCTTGAGAATGCTGCTTCAATGGTTACATAACATTCTCAAGACCCAGGGCATGATTGATTAAACAGAACTTGTGGTATGTACTTCTAAATGCTTTGGTTTTTCATATGGAAGATCTTGCTAACAGAACATATCCTTTCAAAAGAAAGAGGTGCTGTGGTTTTTGGCACAAGTTTGTCTGACCTTTTGAGAAACTCACTTCTGCTAGCCTGTGGTGTTTTGCGGGTTCTTTGTGCTTTTTGCTTAAGTTTCAGTGTCTGCAGTGGGACCAGGTGACCAAGGTTCATTTCGATTGCTTTGTGTTTTGTTGCAAATCTAATAAACAAAAGGGTTGTGTTTGGACAGGCTTTTGTAACTAACTAGTTTGATTGCCCAAAATAAAGTAGCATATTTTCTCCAGTCTGTCTGTTTTTATTGTGCCGTGTGTGTACAGAATAAAACACTGCAATAAAACAATTAGTCATGTTTGAGTTTCCCTCACATCTTGCTTGCTAGACACGATTAGGGAGCTTATTTGTATGTGTCCAAATGAATTTGCATGATTACACAGCTTTCTTTCATTATCACAGCACCTTCCACTTTGCCATTCATCTGCCATCTCCAATTTTAAAGGGCCCTTAGATAAAAGAAAAACTGTTTTATGTGTTTGAATTGAAGCTTACTGTGTAGTGTCTCATCAGGTGAAAAGAGGGGATGAACTGTGCTTTGCAATTCAAGCAAGCCACTTTAGTTTCCTGACCTTGACTCTGGGGGATACTGCTGGGCTCATAACCTTGTTAGAAATCCTACACACTTCAGTCACCACTCTGAGGGGTACAGGCTTCAGTCACCAATCAAGACAATTTAATTCTTGCAATGGGCAAAGCAACTGCAAACTGCAGTGGCCTAAACCACTTGGAACTAACTCTGACAACAGCCACTGAGGTGATCCTATCAGGAGGTCGCTTTGCTTGTAATTGAGGAATTCAAGCAAGGTAAATTTGTCTGGTCATGCAGAGGAGAGAAAATATGAAAGAGCTGAAAGCTGCTGAAAATCCTGCATGTAGAAAACTTTGTCCAAAATTTGGAAATAAAAAATGAAACAGTGGAAGATTCCACTTTCACTTTGGGAACAAAACATTTTCCTCCATGTCACCCTGATGCTACATGTACAGGCAGTGTCCAGGTGATTGGCTCTCCCTTCACACCAGCAAACCACAGCCTTTCTCCCACCTCTAAGAGGGAAGGGAGAGGGAGGGGATGCTGGAACAGCCCTGGGGGAAAAAACCAGGTAGTTTAGACCTCCAAAATCTGGGAAGAGAATCACCAACCTTATGATTCTGCAGTATGTGCAGACTGTAGAAAAAATGCTCAAATTCTCATTTTTTAATTTTAAAAATACCCTTTTTTGTGGTATGGCATGATATTGATGCACATTGTGCAAATCAGTTGTTATCTTTTTATGGCTCTTAGGTTGCCCATAGATTCTTACTAATCTAAATACACTAGGAAGCTGCTGGATGAAATGAGAGAAACCAGTGTGCTGTCATCTTGGATTTGGCCTCTTATGTTATGTACAGCTTCCTAGGGAATGAACATTGGTCACCAAGTTCACCAGGTCACACTGTTAAACCTGAACAACTAACACAGGATACTCAGGTCACTTCAATGGAAAGGAAAGTGTTTTTATTATTGCATAGTGAGCTTCTGAAAGCACATGAAAAAACTGTATCAGAAACCTCAGCATTATGGGTTCTTCTTAATCTGGGCTGGGCCCTGAATCTTTGGGCTAAGCCTAAAGAAACCAGTTCTTTGGCATCTTGGATCTTGGCCTTTCATGCAACATAGAGTTTTAATAATGAAATTCATAATGGTAGCACACAAGAAAGGGTGCTTTGAAGCTGGCTATGTGTGACATATGGAGAGATTGAAAGTTTGTATCACACAAACACTGGAAGGAGTTAGCAAAAATATGCATTTTTCAGAAATAAACCTTTGCAAGACGTCTTCAACCTAAACATTTATCTGCAAAGTTTTTTGAAATGCAGTTAAGATGATGAATGATGAATGAATTGGGCTGATTCACTGATCATATTCTTTTGA